CTCCCTGTCTCCCTCTCCCTGTCTCCCTCTCCCTCTCTCCCTCCCTCTCCTTCCCTCTCCTCTCTCCCTCCATCTCCCTCCTTCTCCTTCTCTTTCTCTCTCAGACACACTCACACGGGCGCGCGGTACACATACGCGACTGGTCAGTTAACCACGGCGCGGCGTCACAGAGCCGCCCCATTATGTCGGACATGTGTCAATCATTAGGCCCTGGTCCTGGAGCGCGCAGTCGGCTCTATAAACAGTCGCTTGTCTCTTGCCCGCTCTGGGCTGATTAAGGTAGCGGCCGCGTTTAGGCGACGCGCTCGGCGCGCGCGGTGAGATGTGGCGGGCTGAAATAACGTATGGGCCGTGTGAGCCATCAAAGCTCCCCGCGCCGGCAGTAGCGTGGACACCATACCACCACCGCCACCACCACCACTTACCAACCACCACCACTACCAACTACCACCACTACCAACTACCAGCCACTACCACTTACCAACCACCACCACTACCACTCACCAACCACCACCACTACCACTTACAAACCACCACCACGACTACTTACCAACAACCACCACTACTACCAACTAACACCATTTACCAACCACCAACATTCGCCAACCGCCACCATTTACCAACCAACCACCACCACTGAAATTGCCTAGTACTATACGCTCTCGTAGCGCCTTTCAGGTAGGCAACATCTCACGAGCAGTGCACGCGTGTAGTGCGGGGTGGCCTACCCTGAGTCTCGCAGGCGCCGAGCTCCCCGTAATGTGCCGACTAGAATTGAGAAGAAAGGGACATACTTTCTGGACGATCCCTAAGGCGGACCGTCGCGCCTCCGTTTGGCTGTCCTGCGGAGGCTGCCACCTGCTAACTGTGGATCGAATTATGACGAGTGGCTCTCGGGGAAGAAGAAGGTCGTCCGAGCGTGAAATGGGTGTACGGACGGTGCCCCGCTGGAGCCTCGCCGTCCGCCCCGTCCAGCGGCGCACTCGGATCAGATCCGGGAGAGGACCGGAGGGGACCCCGGAGGAGGCAGCTACGCGGCACTTGTGAATGAAGCGGCTCGGGGCCTCCACGGGCGCCTCCGGGTCCAAGCGCCTCGGGGCGCCCCGGGCCCGGGCCCCTATGCCGCCTCATGGGAGTGACTAGGCAGAACGCGTCGGCAGCGCCACACCATAGTTCTCAATCAGTTTTACTCTGCGAGTTTCCCCCTTCTCTTCCGTGGCTCCCAGGCTTCTATACTGGATAATAATAAAGAAAAAAGAAAAAAAAAGCGTCTTTGGAATAGAGTTTTTATTTTGTTATTTTATGAACAAAATGCCATTGAGAGCTCAGCACCTACAACCTTGAAATCAAGAGTATGCTGGATACTTATTTCGTGTCAAATTTGTGACCCGTGCTGGTCAATGTCGGACTTTTTTAGGAAGAGGGGAAAACTTTGACGAACTTTCCTAAAACAAATTGTGAAACTTTCTAGTGCTGTGCGAATGTTAAAAATCGAATCGAATCGGGCCCAATTCGATTGGAAGCCAAATCACAACGATTCGACCCCGAAAGGTTCGAAATTTCGAATCGGTCACGATTCGCCACCGAGTCTTCCCGGTGAAGTATGCACCTTTCAAAAGTGCACGAGCGCCCTGGCAATTGGACGTAAGTTTTCATGAAAAGCTCTGCATACGAAGCACAGACACAACAGTCATATGTATTT